CCTTAAAAGTAGTGTACTAGATTTTTTAATTCTTCTACAAATTATGAGTTTCTAAAGCGACTCCGCGCAGGTAAACAATAAGAAAATCTTTTTGCTCCTTGAAAGTACACTGTATTCATTCATTTGCACTACATTATAGAGGCTATTCTCAATTTTGATTAGTGGACCCGATGCTATATGTGAACAAGTGTCGATTTAAAACGAAAATAATACTGTTTCATTTTCTAGTGTAGAAGGGGTCTTTTCTGTACGGGAAAAATTGAAATATATAGAGGTCAAACAGACAAGAAAAAATAAAGCTGAATTAAGAAATGTGATTGGTGCATTAAAATTTAAATCATCTCAAAAAGATGACTTAAGTTCAATTATGCAATGTGATTGGCGTATTACGTTTTAAGTTAATTCGTTTTATTCTAGTCTGTTTAGGGTCATAGCCATGCTGCGGTTCACACGATAGAAAAGAATAATGACTTTTTTATCTCATATGAGACGAATGATCGTATAACATTTAGCGGTATTGACCGAACGGCACCTTTTCTCGTCGTGTTTGTTCAGTTCATGAGAAAGAAATGAAAATATTTTTTTTTTCTCTCTAACATATATTGACGGACGCCTACAATAACACTCGAATATTACATGACATAATATACTTTAGGATGATCTGTATGTATTTTCTTTATTTTTCTACGTTTTATTTTAGCTAAGATAGAAGATCTATGTGCTGAAGAAACAAAAGATTATATTTTTCTTCAGTACTTTAATTAACGCTGTTGAAATAAACTAAGCGTTTGTCACTTGCATAATTTTTTTTACCTCTAAATAGTACGTCTTAATTGTAGTTAAAATCGATCATATTCTAACTAATGAACTAAGGTTTGTTTTATTTTTTCTTTTTCCAAAATAAAGAAAAAGAAATTTATTTCTTCAAATTTTAACTAACCATATTAATGAACTCGCTAATCGAAGTTTCAAGTCGTTTTTATTGTTTGAGTATCTTATCAATATCAAAATATACATTAATACTGAAGTAAAAAGGTTGATGCTGTGAAATATCACATATGATGAGCGTCCTAATTTAAAGGAAAAAATTAAAACATCGTTCACAGACAATATCTCTCCAGACAGTTTTTACTTACGAATCGATCTTTCAATGACATGTTGGTCGTTCCTCAAAAGTAGATTTATCGTATTTAATTGGGTTTGCCAAAGACTCGAGTTTTAAAAGTTCTGTTTTAATAATACTTTCATGTAGATGTCTTTAATATTAATGAAACTATGATTGGTCTGAAATTATTAATAAAATGACCTTTAGTTATAGAGCGAAACTTTTATTTATTTTGAAATAATAGAAAAATGATAAACGAAAATACTTTTCTAAATCCAATATAGAAAATTAATACTAAGGTATGGAATTTTGAAGATGCGAGACTATTATTGAATAAGTGAGTTTTGTTAAATTTTGTTCTCTTTTTGCAAATAGAAAACAAGAGGTGACAATTTTTACTATAGATCCTTGAAATGTGCTTTCAAATATAGTAGAGTTAAGCTGAATATTCTTCCTTTGTTTTCTGTTCTTAATGATGCAGTGTTTATTCATTCATTGTCCTATAATATCAGCGAGGAAATACGTGCATCACTGCATCTCTGTACTATAATAGCCGTGACCAACAAATAATATACGATGTACAATGTGTGCTAGGAGAAAAAGATGGTATTTTTTACTACAATATACAGCGTGGATCAATAATGAGTTGAATAACATAAGTCAGTAATTCCTCATTATCATTGAAAATATTTACCCTTTCATATGTCTGTACAATAATCAGATCGAAAATTGAATGGATAAAGTTATAAAATCAAAAGTATTATTTAATATATTTGTATAATGTTGAAATGAAAGAAAACTGAGATGCTTATTCATCAAAAGGTCATGCTCACTGACGTTTCAAGGCTTATAGGACTTTTTATTTTTAAATCATTTTTTCATCTAAATAAAAATTGTTTGAACTTTAGTAATATTTATGTAATCTTCTGAAAATGAATACTATTTTTTTTGTTTTTATTTCGTTACACCAGTCATTTTATTAGTGATCAGTAGTGATCGAACTTATGAAAAGAAAAGTATAAAATATCTTTCATTTTAGATAAAATGATCAGTAGAATGGAAATATTACCCAATGAAATTCTTCTTCATATATTTTCTTATCTTGAATGGTTCGATATGTTAACATCTTTCTGGTCATTAAATATTCGCTTCAATTCTCTTGTATGTTCAATTTTTTCGATAAATGACAATAGATTGAACAGTGGTCTGCTTATTACGCATGGTTTATCTTATAATAAATGTTGTTCAATATTATTTCCATTGATTTTAAATTCATCACCTCTTTCTTCTTCTATTCAACGTATTCATTTTGATGGATCAAATTCAATTGCTTCTGATCTTTGTTATGAATGGTTATTTAATGATAAAAAATTACTTCATTTTCCAAATCTTAAATCACTTGTTCTTGGTCAATGTGGATCAATTAAACCAATAGTTCAAAGTTTATCTTATCTTGTTCAACATCAATTAGATGAACTTACATTAACATTTAATAAGCATGTATTCACACAGTTTTATTATAAAGAAAACCATTTGTCACTGGTTTCTGATAAAGGTAACCAACCATTTATTTGATAGATTCTATAAAACAAGATAGGATTATCTCTCTTGAGGAAATCATTCTCAATTGAAACTAAATTCTTTCACTGAAACAAAGAAGAGTATTTACGTGTCAAACAATAAGACCTATTTTCGAGAAAACTTTTAGATGGAAATCAATATTTAACAATTGTTGACAATCACTATTACTGAGTGAAGATCTAGTAAAACGCTCACCTAGCTGTAGAACATAGGATTATGGTCGCAAACCAAGCTAACTTTTCTCTTGACACAATACATCCTATCCAATAAGATAAGTGTCAGCTTAAAATTGATTTATCACATCATGAGATTTTCTCTTAAGATATAGAAATTAATATAATAAGTAATAACATCCAATTTAGTAATTTATTGTTTTCCTGTTATGCAAAAAAAAAAAACATTAAATGTGAATAAGTCGTATGTCGAAGGGGAAACAGCTGATTCTGGGTAGAAAAAATCATCTGGAATCACTTGGAGTCATCCGAATCCAAGGGAAAAGCAGCTGATTCTGGGCAGCAGAATCATCTGAAATCACTAGTATCACTTAGAATCACTTGAAATCAACAGAATTTTGAAATCTTAGAGGCAGCTGTTTCCACCTTACATATATAACTATAAATAAATTTTGGTTAATTGTTAATTGTATTTCACGGTTATCTTAAACATGTTCCAGTCATTTATTCATTGAAAGATCAATCAACTGTTATAATCATTCAGTTGATTCAATAGAAATAGAATTAAATTTATTTTATTTTTGTATGTTATTTTTTGATCAATTAGAAAAAGAATGAGATTATATAAATATCAGTTTTACATTAATAAACCTAAAATTAAAAAGATTTTTTCATAAAAAAATATTTTTTTAAGCAATAGAAAATTTCTCTTTTTTATTTTTTGAGAAACAATAGAAAAACAGTTCACCATGCTCAAACAATTTCTTTGTCAATTATTCTCTGGTCAATGTCAATTAAAATCTCTTCGACTTGATATTAGCAACGAATTTAGGGATGGTTTTTTCCATCGATGTTTATCATCAAACTCTAATCTTTCTTTCGATTTTATTCAATATCCATACCGATCTTCTTGTGTAACTCTTCGTCGTTTACATATTCGACTTAATCAAAGTTGTTTTCTGGAAAATCTGATTGAATATGTACCAAACATCGAACAAATGTCAATTGAGTGTGATTGTTCTTTGTGTTCTTATAGATTAAGGACATCAAATATTGAAACATTGAGTCAATTAAATGAAAATTGGTTTAATAAAGTAAGAAAAAAAACAAAGAATAATCATCTTTTTTTTTATTTGATGAATTTCTTAAAATATCTATTTCTTTTAATTGATAAAAAAAACAATCGTATTCTTTTAGATACCAAAACTACGATGTTTTACTTTAAAAACTTTCATTAACAATGATTCGAATATTATTTATTTGAAATGGCTTCTTAATAATATAAACTATGTTGAGAAACTTCAACTTCAACTTAGAAGTGATAAACTAATTGAAACAAGCCGTCAAAATATATTAAAATCTTTTATTGATGCAAGTTTTATTCGCCAATATTGTTTACCTGATACAATATCAAATTTAATTTATTTTGATTTTTATATTTGTTCAGAATGTCAATTATCATTTAATGATGTAGAAAAAATAACAAATTCATTTAAAATTCATTCTTTTTTTATCGATCATCAATGGACAAATATTAAATGTTTATTTGATCCAATAATGTCGTCTCAACATCTTTTCTCTTCTTTCAATAATACATCTCAAATTTCCGATAATTTTATGTAAGATATTTGTCTTTATGAAAAATTTGAGATCTTCTTGAATCACTTATATATTTTTCTTTTAGTGATTATTCATATATTTTTAATTGGCCCCGTACTGGTGACATTTGGTTTAAAATGTATCCATCACTTTATTTTTTTCTCGAACAATTCACTGAATTATCACCTAATATTTCTTGTGTCAAAGTATACCGAGGTAAGTTTCTTTGCCATTTCCATTACTCTCTTAATGACTAAAGAAATAGGTGGCAAAGTTCGGGTTACCGGAAGTTTGTCGATAGTCACACTCATGAGCGCTCATATGAGCGTGAGCAAGCGCTTTTCGCTGACGTTCATATGAGTGTTCATGAGTGTGGGCATGAGCTGTACATTCCTACTTTGTTCTGAAATGAATCTAATAGAAAAATAATAAAATAGTATTTTTAAAAGTATAAAAAATTTCTATTTTTGTTTTAGAACGTAACAGAGCTTTCGTCGAGTCAGATTTTTTGATGTCATTGAAGATCTTATCCAAAATGAGGCAACACAAGGAAATCAATATTCATTTTCGAAATGTTACGAAAATTCAATTTGGAACGTATTTTGACCGGATGAATAGTTTGTATTATATTTGATTTTTTTTCGAAGATTTGAAAAGAAATAGCTTACTCTTTATTTTTAGTTAAAAGAAAACATTATCACAAATTTTTTTTATTGCTTTAAATTTCACATAAAACTATTTTCTTATAGTCAGCAGAGCGAAATGAACTTTTTTTGTATATTAAGATTTAATATTTTATAATTATATTGAGACTTTAGACATGAGTTTTATAATTATTGATGCTGAGTAGAATTTGAATGGTCATGAAAAAAGACACGATTCATAGAGAAAGTCATTTAGTAATATTAGGTTTAACCACTAGTATTGAGAATCTCTATTCAAACTCTGATCGTTGTTGGATAGATGCTGCGTTGATTAAAGACTGTTGCCTGTTCGGATACACTTACTAATAATACAGTCTGTCATTACTATGCAGGTTATGGTCTACAATCTGTTTCGCTCCGTTTCAACGTTCTTTTCTCTATGAGAACAGTCTTAAAAATCTCATCTTCCATTTAGAATTTTACTTGTTTATTAATCATAGATAGAAATATTCTAATTAAAAATGATTTATATGAAAATATTTTTGTAAGAGATTTCGTATCGATGGAAGAATGCAGTGAGCAATGTTAATTCTTGAGATATAAATAATAAAAATCGAACGAAAAATATTATGATTGGTTCATAATTGAGAGATATTTTCAATCCGGATCAAAAATTTTATATTTCGACAATTCGATTATTTAATATTTAATAATAAACATCTAAAATATTTCATAACTTCTCTTGACTGTTAGATAATAAATAAAAATAATTTATTTTCTAAATAATTTTAAAAAAAATATTATTTCAAATTCGAGTTAATTTCAAATGATTGTTGAAAAATTTGAAATAATTTTTCTTACATATTTAATTCATTTTCGATTTATTCATATTAGAATTATTCTCATAATATTTCATAAGTATAAAATAAAGCTTAACATATTGCTGCATATTATTTAAATAAACATGAATTTCGTTTGTTAAATGTTACTAAATTATTTTATAACGGATAAATCATTCAGATATGAGAAGTAATTAGAGATGCAGAATCTGATGTTAAAATGAAAAATTTCCCTCACACGTGTAGTCGCGCACAGATACATTCTACACGTCTTACAAGTAATATTCTAAATTAAAAATGATCATTAGTTTTCTTTCAAATAATTTGTTCTGAGATCTTAATAAATACAAGAGAAATATATAAGTATCGATTAGTAAATGTGAAATAAACACAATAAAGAAATGAATCGACTATTTTCAAAGAGATTTCTAATTTTTGTAAAAGAAACTTCAACGATTATATCTATATGTAGAATAA